AACCACTTTGCTTTATTGAAAGGGCTAGGTAAACAGCATAGTTTTTTTTACTCTTGTTATTACACGTTTTTTTTCTCTTCCAAGTAACAAGGCCGATCTTATTTGCCATCTGTTAGTTACCAAATTTACATCTACAAACCTCCCCTAAATATTTGTCCTGTAAGTTCTGAATGTGCTAGGAATTTATAATTTTAACAAACGAAGAGCAATTTTCTCATACTTAAAAATTCAAAAAGCTACAATTATTTTTTTGCAAGAAACCTACTCATCAACCGAAGATGAAAAATTGTGGTATGTAGAATGGGGCGCCAAAATAATCTATTTGCACAGAACCACACACTCAAAAGGAGTTTGCATTCTTTTAAATCGCAGCTCACCTTTAAATCGCAGCTCATCTTTAAATTTAAGTAGCATTCAAGCGGATCCCGAGGGTAGATTCTTAATTGCAAAACTTACAATAGAGGATAAATACTTTTTCATTACAGACATTTGTGGTCCAAATAACTGTCATGACCAAGATGACTTTATAAAAACACTAAGCCAACAAGTTATGTCTAAAACAGATACATCAAAAGTCATCATATCTGTTGACTGGAACATCACTCTTAATCGAATTGACAAACTCAGTGGTCTTCCGTGGAAGGCTACAAGCGGTAGAAATACACTCATAGATCACATGGAGGAACTAAACCTTACTGATATTTATCGTGAACTTCATCCAAATTCTAAATCCTTTACTTATGTATCAAAATTGTTGAACCTGAAATTGAGGATCGACTATTTCTTATTCCACACTCGCTTTTTTGCGATGTTAGATAAATTCATGTTTCGACTGTGCTAGAAAATAACACGACCTTTTCAAGTATTGATGTTAAAAGTGAATTTAGTAGAGGTCCACGTTTATGGAAATTTAATGATACACTGTTGGAAGATAATAACTATAAAGGACTGATTGCATTCTACTATCCACAAATATTATGAAAATGTTCCAAAGTTACAAATAACCAGCTTCTATGGGAATTAATCAAGATGGAATTACGCGCAAAAAATGTAAGAAATTCAAAAGAGAAAAGATGTAAATTAGGAAACAAGGAAGAAGCTCTTCAAAAAGAGTTACAAGAAATTGACTTTAAAATGTGCAATGGAGATTTTTTGACCAGGATACTCTGGAAAAATTTGAAGCTGCCAAAGAAGAACTAAAACGCCTTCATGAAAGAAGAGGTAACCATGTTCAGGTCAAAGATGAAATGGGTCGAACAAGGAGAAAAGCCAACCAAATATTTCCATAATCTCGAAGAAACAAACTATGAGAAAAAATTGGTCAGAGAGGTGAAACTGGAAAATGAAGAAAGAGTCTCATACTCAGCACAGGTCAACAAGGAAAATGTACACCGCTAAAATGAATGGCAACATGGACAACCATGTATCTGAGCAAAAATTTGATGAGTTTATCGAAGATCTTAACATTTTGCAACTCAACGATAAAGAACAAAGCTTGTTAGAGGAAGATTTCACTATCAACGAATTAAAAGAAGCACTAACTTCCTTAGCAGATAATAAATCTCCGAACCTTTTTTGATCTTCTCTGTAAGGTCCTTCTTAATTCTTATAACAAGGCTTTCCGTGAAGGTTCATTATCTATATCCCAGAAACGAGGAACAATAACACTCATCCCAAAAGGCAATAAGAACTTGACAGAGTTGAAGAACTGGCTCCCTATATCTCTACCCAAAATTGACCACAAAATCTTTTCCAAGGTACTGGTGAGAAGAATGGAAAAAGTTTTACCAAAGTTAGCTCACTCTGATCAAACAGGTTTTGTTAATAGGAGATATATCGGACAAAATATTAGATTCTTGAACGATATAATGAATAAACAGATATTAAGAGACTGCCTGGAATTTTTCTTTTAGCTGATTTCGAAAAAGGCATTTGTCATCATAGAATGGAGTTTTATATTGAAAACCCTTGAAGTGTTTACATTTGGCTGCAACTTAAAAAAATGGTTTTCTGTCATTTAAAACAATGTACAAAGCTCTGTTCTGAATGGTGGCCCTATGACCAATTATTTTGAAGTAACAAGAGGCATGCGACGAGGGTGTCCACTTAGCCCTTCCCTCTTTATCCTTTTTGTGGAATTGCTAGCATTGAAGATCCACCAGAGCCCGAACTGCAGAGGTATACGTTTACGAAACAACAAAGTGAGAATTTTGCAATTGCTGACGATACAACCATCACAATAAATAGTACAGATTCTCTCAAATCACACCTCCAAACTATAGAAGTATTTGGGGCTATCTCAGGGTTAAAACTAAATAAGAAGACCAAAGCAATGTGGTGAGACTCCATGAAATACAATACTTTTAAGATACTGGAATTTAAAAGTACGAGAGAGCCAATTAAAGTTTTGGGGATCCGTTTATCATATAATCAAGATAGGAACATTGAAGATTTATGGCTTTCAAGAGATCTCACCCTCTGTGGTAAATCTTTTTTGACCAAAACGTTAGGTGTGTCCCAATTAGTCTACGCAGCATCTTTGCTCTCTGTTCTAAATGCAGTTATCAAAATTGTCTAGACACAAATCTTCTCTTTCCTATGGAAAAACAAAAAAAATAAAATAGAGAGCAGTTGTATATCAGCCCCTGCAGAAGGTGAACTAATTTTATTAATTTTACCACAATGGTGAAATTGTTACGCTTAGCATGGATAGGTAGTTTACTAGGTGATACTGACGACTCGTGGAAAGTAATCCCAAATTCCTATCTTTCTGAGTACAGAGGCCTTCAGTTTCTCCTCAAATGCAACAATAATGCTGAATCCATAAACATCGGTTTACCTAATTTCTATCGAGAACTGCCACGATATTTCCAAGAGCTTAAAAACAAGGCCAATATATTCTCTTAAGGCGAATTCTTACCATGGAACAAGGCTATAACCATTGGAAATTATCCCGTTTTTTGGAGATCCTGGTTCAAACGGAAAATTCTTTATGTAAAAGATGTCCTAAATGCGAATGGAAATTTTTTAACAATTGAAGAATTCCAAAACAAGTTCAAAATCAAAACAAACTTTCTTCACTACCTTCAATTAATTGCTGCTTTCCCATCAAACTTAAAAAAGAAAGCTGCCACAATTGAAGTACCCTCACAAGAATTGCTACACACCACTAAAATATCTTCTTCAATGATTCCTACCTTAGATTTAACTGAGATGCGCTGCAAAAACTATTATTAAAATTTCAATGGAAACTGTATCACCTGACCGACTGGTATTAAAAACTGGAAAAACAAATTCCCTGATTTCTTCACAGATTGGGGAAAAATTGTTCCTTTATATGTTAATCCCCAAAGGATAATAAATTAAGACAATTTTTGTTCAGGTTACTGCACAGAATAATAATGACCAAAAAGGAGCTTTTGATGATGAAGAGTGCACTCTTTGTCTCTGACCAGACTCTATAGAACATACGTTTCTAGACGGTACTGTAATGACAGCATTTTACTTGAAAGCCATATCATAGTTCAACCAGGAAAATGACACCGACATTACACTTTCAAATAAACAAATACCTTTTAAGACATCCCCTGTTGAACTCACCTAACTGATTGCCCAAGATGCAGACTACATCTTTTTGTCATTATCATAAAAGAATAAATTTGTGCTTGTAAGTGTTTAGACAAAAAAACAAACATGTAGGAAGTTAAAAAAACCTATACTACAATGGGAAATAGAGAATTGCACTCTTTCCTAAGTCACAGATTTTCCTGCAAAGCCTTTTTCCTGATTTAACCAGCCAATTGAAAGAGACAAACTACATCAAAGCCCAAAATCTTATTTTTTCTACCAGCACTGACTCTAAACTTATTTTGCAGTGTTCGTAGAAAGTAATTAAGGTGCCGTTCTGTAAAGTACTCAAGTAATTATAAGTAGGCAAGTGAGCTTATTAGTGAATTGCAAGTTTTGTATTGTAATTTATTGTAAGGCATGCTCTGTTTAGTAGTGTGATGTAAGTAACATTACGCTGTAATATAAGTGACTGTTAGTATAAGAAATAGTACTAGTGTCTAATCCAATAAGTACAGTAATGTAATAAGTAGAGTGATGTCGAGTAATGTAAGTTTAGTTCTGTACAAATGTTTCTTCAATAAATGTTTATTAAATTTAAAAATATATATATATTTCACATATGTTGTCCGAGCAGGCCGTCCTCAATAATTCCACCAGGACAACCTATTAAAACACATCCTAGCAGCGGAGGGAAAGGTCAGGTGCTACGAGAAAGTTAAAAACCATTTCAGAAGGAGGCAGGCCTCCTTGTAGCTCCTGATCTCTCCAACCCTCCTTGTAAATATCTACCACTCTATTTATTTATATTTACATATCAGGGATCAAATGTGAGCTGGGGTAGCCAACCCCTGGGGAGTGCCAACCAAACTCTCTCAGATCTTAGGATAATACTCTTGTCGTTTTATACGGCAAGGTGGGACCAGGGAACCAAATCTTCCTATTGAAAAAACTTGAACTTTATATCTATCTACTCAAATAAAGCACCATTGAAATGGCTGTTTAGCAAGGATGTTGCTCTTCATCACTTAAAACGTTTAAGTTAACCCTTAGCATACACGACGCAGAAATTTAGAGCCAAAGTCAGGCCAAAATAGGAGACTGGAAAGATGTGTCTGTCAATTTGAAGGAAAAAGTGAGGGAGCATAATAAAAAACAAATTTAAAGGTTAAGCCGAGATTTTTAAAATAAAGTCTCTCCTACTATTACTCCATCTTCCCTAAAAATTTCTGCCTAAGAAATGCCTTCAGTACGGAGAAATCACCATTTAAAAACGTCTCCTTATGTAAATCTTATACAAATAATTTGCACCTTTAACAAAAATCGCAAAAAATCTCTGAGAAAAGAAGACTTTGACAAAAACAAAAAAAAGAACACCATTGCATTACTCAAGTTAAGAGCAACAAAATGGTATAATGATCATATCGATCCACAAGTGGTAAAAGAGCCAAAGCTAGACCAAAATTATCTAAACAAAATACATGAAGATATCTAACTCTTCATTCTTTACTACTAAGCGGTAAAAGTTCAAAAACAAATACACCACGAGAAAGCCAGAGAGCCTAACAATGCACCGACCTCATTTTTCCTTCGTTAATTCCACGAAAACTACGCTTAAACAGATTACTTTGTTCAATAAAGAAATGTGAAGGCAAAATAGGCTCTTTTTTAAAACGTCTCTAACTCTATATAAATCCATTCAAATTAAAAGCCAATCATATGATAGTTTAGTTAATACACATGTTAATCAAATGACAAACTTTCAAGGTAAACAAAGCATGCACGACAGAGAACTTGAGAGCCAAAGAAGGACCAAAATATGAAAATGGAGAGAAGTGTGTCGGACAATTTGAAGGTTAATAACTCCCAAACACCGAGACTTTTCAAAAGCTTTTTTATATCACCTAAAAGCCAATTTATGTGACCTTCGATTCCCTTGTCAAATATTTACCAGTTCTGAGCAATGACTTCTCAAACAGGGCGCAGCAATTTATCACAAATAAAGTGAGGAAGTGCAATAACAAAAATTTATAAGGTTGAGCTGTGATTTTTTAACTAAGGAATCTCCACTTGCCACTCCACGTTCTCTGAAAATTTCAGGCTGGAAACTGCCTAAGAAGTAACTATTTAAAGATATCTTATCACGCAAATTTTCATACACATTAACGCAAATTCTATGCAAATTAATGAAAAAATCATGCAAATCATTTCAAAATTTATGCAATTGACAAAAAAATTCAGAATTCATGCAAAAATAAAAAACCCATCGTTGCATTTCTCACACAAAGACCAACACAAAGATGTATAAATTGAATCAACCTCCCTGTCACAAAGCTTCTGTGGGGTCGGTGCAAAAAGTGGGAGAGCGCAAGTGGGGAGGGTGTAACTCCAGTGGGGAGGGTGCAACTCCAGTGGGGAGGGCATGATCAAAGTGGGCAGGGCACAATTTGCTGTGGGGAGGGCACAATTGAAGTGGGGAGAGCACAATGGAACATGGCCCTAACAATTAACTTTCCATGTAAACAAACCAGAATAAGGCATGATATGAATACATTTAATATTCCCTCTTGGAATGTAGAATCCAAAAACTAATTAACTTACTAGTGAATAGGAAAAAGCTCAATGTGTTTTTCCTGCTTTTGTCATTCTAAATATCACAACATCAACAACAGCGGGATTTTTTTGATGATGTGTACTTTTGCCTATGGACATCTAATTTTAGTATCTATCTTTTACCAGCTGACATCTAGGAAGGATCAAATACACACTGGTAATTTGAAACATTGCAGGCAAACCCTGCAACTGTTTGAATTTTGTTTGATCAAAAACATGAAGGGCCATAGAGCGTTTCACTCACGTGACCAAATTTCTTTATAGTCATGGTAACTGACTTCATCCGCCTAGTTGGTGTTCCATGGCAACCATTGTATCGTGACAGGAAACAATTGGAGCAGATTTTACAGTTTTGAGAAGACATTAGTGTAATATTTATATGGTCTTTATCATGGTCCTTTGCCTTGTCGTTAGCCGTGGGAACAAAACAGGGAAGAAGCGGTCTAACATTGAAAAAGTAAGGTTTTGTTCGTGTCCCACGTGTTATAGTCAGTCAAGGAGAGAACTCCAGAGAACTTACTTCTGAGCGAAGAAGAATGTGGATCTCTGTGATAAGTAGAAATGACTTTACTGATGATCTTTTAGAACGCAATAGGGTCTGCAGCCAGCACTTCGTTTCAGGAGAAGCTGCAAAAGATTGAGATTGATCCAACGTTGACTTAATCCCTATCTTCCATCTTGGGCATTCAAAACAGCATGTAAAGGAGCCTGAAGAAGCAGCTGCTCGAGCTGCCAACAGATGCAAACGTCAAGCAGAGATCACAGAAAAGGAGGTGGAAGAGAAAGTGAAACGAGTGGATGATACAGGGAAACAGCTGATGAGATATTCTACGAGGCCAAGCCTGAGGCTGAGGCTTTGAATGTTGATGATACGGGGATGTAACAAGTGGATGATACAGGGGAAACAGCTGATGAGATATTCTACAAGGCCAAGCCTTTGAATGTTGATAACAAAGATTCAGAGACCAGGGAAGAATTATGCAGATGTCATGACCAGAAAACAATGAATGCTGAAACTCATATGCCAGAATCGAGGGTAAAAATTGCCCAAAATGCTGAAACTCAAACAACTGAATTTGAATATTTATTTAAGCAAGCTGTTCTGCAACCTTTTATTGAGAAATATTTTGCTAATAATGATGAAAGAGTGAGGTTTTACACTGGTTTGCCGGGTTTGATGCGCTCGAAGCAACTTTTTCTTTCATCAGTCTGTTCGTCACTTGAAGGGGTAAAAGCTTGTCTTTGTTTCAAGAAATTGTTATGGTATTAATAAAATTAAGATTGAATGTTCCTCTGCAAGACCTTGCATATAGGTTTGGC